GCTAGAACAGAAATTAATCTACTTTTTTCCCTCTGAATGCACAAAGAAGCCTTCTTTTCAGTTATAGTGAATTAAAGTTTTACTGTAAGTAGCATAACTATATTCTTCTCCTCCTCTCTATTTTCTTAGGAGTAGGAATAGTCTGTTTATTTTTATGAATGCTTCAGTTGTAAAAAGGTGCTGTGTCTAATTATGAATTATTATGTTACATTTTGAGCTAATTTTCTTATTTTGTAAAAAAGATCCTTTGACATTTTAGTCCCTTGTGCATGATGATTTTTAAACATATAGTCTGGTTGAAAAATACAGATCAGTCATCTTTTTCTTGAATGCATAACTTTCTGTCCTGTCCAGGTAGAACATGAAATGAATGGAAGGTGCAAGTTTTACCTTGTTATATTGGCAGAGAAATAAATCAAAACGGGGAATGTAACATATACAAAACAGTTTAACTAAGTAGAATATAAGCACATGACCTTAAATATAAAACAGCTACTTAATTTGCAGGAATTGACAGAATAATTAAAACTGCTAAAAAGCAAAATCAGAGACTGGTGATCTATCTAGAGCTGTGCTTAGGAATTCCAAAAAAATACCTTTTTCCTCATAGTGAGAGCAGCACCATATTTAGAAGACACCAAGTTGAAGATAATTGCTCTAAATTATAGAAATGAATCATGTAACTAGGCAAATGTACGTTTACTTAATTTCTTTGTTTTATAGCTTCTTTCTGTACTTTCTTCAGAAAGGGTGTGAGTGCATATTCACAATTAAAGTCTGGAATAATTACATTAACTGAAAGTGAATTTTCCTATGAAAGCATTATAATATGAAAATATAATGTGTAAGAAACAATTATGAGAAACATGTTTATGTCTATAACTAAAGCTTCCTTAAAGTTTTTAGAAAAACATTATTAAATAACACATACCGTGTTTCCCTGAAAATAAGACCTGATCTTATTCTTTTTTTTTTTGCCTCCAAAAGAGGCACCAGGTCTTATTTTCGGGGTGGTGGCATCTTTTCCACTCACCTCCAGCACCGACAGCCCCACCCAGTTGGCCCACTTCTTCTGCGGCCAAAGGAACAGCTTCATTTTGCAGCCGAGAATGGAGTTTCGGGCTGCATTTTGCAGGCAGAGGCCTTTCTGGAAGGCTATTGCAGCAGAGAACTGAATTATGGATTCAATCCATAGCTCGATTCTTGGCTGCAGAGGTCTTGCAGAACTGAGCTATGGATTGAATCCATAGCTCCGTTCTTGGCTGCAGTGGCCATCCGGAAAGGCCTCTGACTGAGAAATGCAGGCCTGGGGACGCCGCAGAAGAAGTGGGCTGGCGAGGAGAGGCCTGGCTGCAAGGTAAGTAGGTGTGGGGCATGTCCACCCCCCATCCCCACGCTAGCTTAATTTTTAGGTGTGTGCCTCATCCCAAAACTAGTGCTTAGTTTTGGGGTAGGGATTATATTAGGCCCACTCCAAAAAATCAAGCTAGGGCTTATTTTAGTTAGGTCTTACTTTCAGGGAATAATCAAGGGCTATGAGCTTTGTTTTTTCCCAGTATTTAGAGATGAAACTAGATGCTTTATGTCAGGCATATATGTGTTCACCACCTTCCCTTCCGCTTTTGTTTTTCCTAGTGAAAATCGCTAGGAGGATGTGAGCATGCACAGGGAAATGAGAGGGAAGAGACTCAACATTTTCTCTTGTACACGTTGAGAAAGCTGTGATTCATCATGTCTTTCTGACTTAAGACACATGAATCATACCAGAATTTTACAACCTAATGGGATTAGCCACCCTCTTTCATTCAATATTATTATCTGGACCTAAACTCAATAAGTGAGAGCCAGTTTGGTCTAGTAGTTATAAGGCACCAGGCTAAAAAGCAGGAGACCATGAGTTCAGGTTCCACTTTAGCCATAAAAGCCCACTTTGGGCCAGTCCCTCTCTCTCAACACAACTCGCCTCACAAGTTTGTTGTTGTGAGGAAAATAGGAGGAAAATGTGTTGGCTATGTTTGCCGCCTTAAATTATTTGTAAAACAATAAAGACGGAATGCAAATAAATAAACAGACAAACTCTCAGAAAGTGATATCCTTTGAAAGAACAATACCTTTTTTGGTCAACTTATAAGCACCAAATCCTCCTTGTGGTAATTAATTACTCATTCATACATGACTCACAGAAGCCAGAATGAAGAAACTGACTACTTTTCTATAACCTTCACTCCCAACCCATTTGGTGCTGGGTAATCTCATTATTCCATTCTGGGTCTGCTATAATGATCTAAGAAGGCTGGAGAAATTCAACAGGAATTCGACCTTAGTCATATAAGTTATGCAACAATTGAGACTCTTATCCAGACATTTTGTACATGAGCATAGAATTATCAAACGTCTACTATTTCTTTTTCCCCGAAGTTGAGGCAGTGAAAAGAAAAAAAGTCACAGGTCTCTTAACTTTTTTTTGTCTCTGTAAGCACATATGTTGCTATTGCTTAAATTAGAACCACCACTGCAGTTCTATGGTTAATCATAAAGTATTGGAGTATCTTTCTTCCTTCTGTTTTTTTATGACATGCATGGGAAAAAGACAACAATAACAGCAAGACTAAGTATAGGGAAAGAAAAGAAAGGAATAGAAAAAAAAAGGCCAGACAGGGAAAGAGTAGAAAAGAAAGACAGTGGGGGAGGAAATAAAGAAGATAAAACTACTTGAAATGTAATTTGTCCTCCATACTATGCCCTCCTCTGCAAAAGACTAATGGGGAGTGGGATCCAGCTGTCCCGTTGCAAGAGAAATTTCCTCACTTTTGCTAGGCATGTCATTGGAGGAAGAAATAATTCCATTCCACAGTTAAGGAAATAGGCTACTGGACACCAATGAATTGCTGAATAACCAATGGTGTCTATAGTAATTGCTAACATTTCATCTTTGAACATTATTGTGCTCACAAAGATTTCATATGCCTTCTTTTCATAGAGGCAAAAAAATAGTTTAGAGGTTGGGCAATGTTTGGTTTAGTGACTGCAATGTAGACAAAAGATTTCCTGATATTTCTTTGCTAAGTGTGGCTGACATCTTTGGATGCAAGGTTATCTCCAGATGACAAAAGTGTCATCTAACTACCAAAACCATGGCGATGATTTTAGGGATGCCATGTCCAAGTGCATTTTCTTCCATTTTTTTCCATGAGAAAATTTGCCATTCATATAGTTCATTATTCCATTGGAAGTAGCATACATAGAGGGATAACATATCAAAACTGTCATTTGGACCAGACCAAAGACTGAGTGTTTTCAACTTCTCAGTGAAATGGATCTCTGATATATGTATATGTTTGTCCAATATATGATTGCAGGAGAGTTGTCAGGTATTTTGTAACATGATATGTGGGGGAGTTGATGGTGCTAACCATTGGACATAACGGAACCTGTTCCTTATCTATCTTGGGAAGCCCATATAGCTGGGGTGGCAGAGCTTTCATCCTGTTTATTGAGTAAGAGTGATGAAGTCTTGATAAGATAAATAAGGTTTCCATGGCACTTTTGTTGTGCGATTGCAATTTTTTGGGGTATGTTATTGGAGCTAAGAGATCCTGCATCTTCTTTTGATAGTTTTCAATGTTCATGATGCCAATGGCATTGCAAAATAATTGTCTTTTCTGGAGTCAAGCAATTGCTCCTGTTCCTAAAAACCTTAGGAAATTTTGTATTTCGAGCATGACAAACTCAAAACAGCTGCAGAAGCCATCAANGTGTCAACGCTGCAAATACTGTATATTCTTGCTTTGACAATATGCAGAACTGTCTGGTATTTATATAGTTAAATCAGGCAACAGTGAAAGCCGGGAAAAAGAAACCGGAAGTAAATCATGTTGTCCAAGTTAATTGGAAGATGTGAACCATGACCCCAAAATAAGGGAGGGAAAAATGCTTAATATGTATGTGTAACGGAAAAGGATCAGATCTAAGCATTTTTCCACCATGCTGTACTGACGTCTCTGTAACCTTAATAAATGCTTTTAGGAAAAGATATGCCTGAAAGTCCTTTTAAGTGTTTCGTTAATCAAACACATGACACCTAGCTTAATTTTTTTTTGGGGGGTGACCCTAATATAAGCCCCACCCCCAAAATAAGCCCTAGTTTTGGGGTTAGGCACACACCTAAAAATCAAGCTGGGATGGGGGATGGAGCTGCCTCACACGCCCTGCACCCACATAACTTACAGCCAGGCCTCTCCTTGCTGGCCCACTTCTGTGGCGTCTTCTGCAGCCAGGCATGCATTTCTCAGTCACAGGCCTTTCCGGAAGGTCACTGCAGCCGAGAACTGAGCTATGGATACAATCTATAGCTCAGTTCTGCAAGACCTCTGTAGCCGAATCCATAGCTCGGAACTCGGCTGCAGAGGCCTTCCGGAAAGGCCTGACTGCGAAATGCAGGCCAGAATGCAGCTACAGAATGAATCTGGACTTTCAGCCGCAGAAGAAGTGGACTGGCTGGGCAGGGCTATTGGTGCCGGAGGTGAGTATAAAAGACATCCCCCCCCCAGAAAAAAAGAAAAAAGAAAAGACCTGGTCTTATTTTCCGTAGCAGTAGTATGAGAGTCAGTGGAGAAATTCACTGTACTTATCAGCTTCCTGCAAATAGCTGATTTTGTATCTGAACCACCTGATGCTGGGTCTAGATTGACACTAAAATTCCCTAGATTGATCGTATGGAGATCGTCTGCCCTCTTTTGGGAGAGATTCAATGGCAGTGAACTTCATGGCTTCCATGGCAATTACAAACTTTAACACTAATTATTGTGGCTTCAACTCACTCATTTTAGACAAAAGAATGACTGAAGTAGCTGCAGAAAAGAAGATTAAAGGGAAACAAGATCTTCAAATATCTGAAGATATTTGTTGTTAAGCAGTGTAGCAAATATCTTTTTGTTGCTCCAAAGGACATTGTACTCTTTAGAATTGGTATGTCAAGTTTATCTACGGTACTTCGGACAATGGCAAATGATAAGACACAGTCTTGCCTAATTATCCAAGAGGAGTTCAAACCTGCTGCTCCTGATGAAGTGGACAGAGCAGTGACTTCAGCCCCCTGTATTTTAGATCCCAGCCCCTACTGGTTGATTAAACTTCAGGTCAGTGGGGTCTCCCTGGCATTTAGGCCAGGTAAGTAGGTGAGCTGTTGAAGATGCAGCTTTTTGTTTGGGTGGATGTTGTTTAATCAGGTCATCATTGTTTATGTAGGCTTACGTGGTTTCAATCTTTCACAGTAACTGCTATGAGATAGGAGTCTCTATAAACCATTGAAATCATTGGTATTCAACTGCTTTGAAACTCATCGAATTTATACAGAATTTATACAAAAACTCATTGAATTTATACAAAATATTCAATGCATTTTGATAAAAAATTTGTCCCGGTACTCATCATTTGTTTGGTACTCAATGCACAAGCTAGAGTTTATCGTTAGCTGCTTTATGACTCACTATATTATTCCTTATGGGAAAAATGTGGTACTCATCGTTTTTGGTACTCATCGTGCCTCCTGGAACCAATTAATGATGACTACCAAACTACCAGTATAAATGCAGTTGTTGTAATTTGACTCTGCTTATCAAAAATAATATTAAAATTTTATTAATTTATTCTGTGATCCTTTTAATAATGTTGGCATGGCGCATAAACATTTTATTTATTTTTATCCTACATAGAATAATATAATACATGCAATAAATAAAATACATGTAATTACCATAAATTCTGAAGAAACCATAATTTGTCTATATTGTTTCAACAGCATTAATAAACATATGAGCAACAAAATGTTCTTGTTATTTCAATCAGAATAATATAATTTCTTAGTTACAATTACTTTTTCCTAAATCTTACTGCTAACATATTTTCTATGTTAATTTTACATCATACTGCTTTTATACAAGAGACATTTCTCCCATGACAGCCATCTTATAGTACAGCTTCCTTTGTGTGTTATTAGATGAATGTCACAAAATATTTTGTGAGCATTTTTCTAAGTCAGTGGCCTCCGACCTTTCCAGCTTTGCAGACTAAGGGGGGGGAAGAGGGGATGATTTCGCATAAACAGTAGTTGAGAGCACGGGTGCACGCAGCTCCATTTTTGTGAGTGGCAGGCAAATGAATCTCTGTGCATGCTCACCTGCCCGCTGTGCCCACAAGCGGAACTGTGTGCATGTTCGCTTGCCTCTTCCATGGCTCGGTTCTGAACAGGCCATGGTGTGGGGGTTGGGGACCCCTGTTCTAAGTGATGCCCTGGGAAAATAGTCAAAACATTGTGCACCTACATCACTGTCTTAAACAAATAGAAATCGTTCAGTTTTACAATTGTGTTTTGGCTTTTCGGTCTGTCACCTACTTAGAACAGCAAAGACAGAAAGTAAAATATGATTATTGAGTGGCACTCAGCATGCAGGCAGATCAGAATGCAGGCAGCAGAGCGGTAATTATTAGCTTTCAGTACCCATTAGTTTCAAATGTAGATTAATTTTTCTTTGGGGAACATTTCCTATGCCTTTTGGTTAAACAAAACCACTATAGGGTATGATTGACAAGGTGCATAATTCTTTAGCATTTTTGTCAAATGTGTATAAATCAAAGGTGCCAAGTACCCTTGATGGCATTTTGTTTCTCTTAATTGTGCGCTGGAATGTTGCTAGGAAACATGCAATCACTGCTAAACCACTTTTCTGCTGACTTCAAACCAGTTTGTGGTTTTTTAATGGCAGACTAAGGGGAACCAAAAGATATCTGTCCTCTTCTACCCTCCTTTTTTTAAATTACTGGCTGCTGATGCATCTGTGTGCTGATTGTGGTGAGGGATTATTTAAGTATGATACTGGTCTTTCAGCTAGCCAAAGAGGTAAATAGGACTAGGAATCAAATTGCTTGAATATATATAATTTAAATTAGTTTTGAAGAGCAGTTTTATTTATTTCAATTCCCGAGAAATAGCCAAATAGGTTTGTTTGTGGAGAATGGATATTTAGGTGTTATGTGATTTCTCTAAATGAAACTGAGCTGATATTCTTTGAAATTGGACATGAAATATCATTTAAATTCACCCCTGACCCCTGTCTAGATTCTAGGTATACTTTTGGCAATGAAGGTTAATTAAACAAAGAGAAGAAATTGCCATTACTGTTACCTAGGCAGAATACATTGGCGAATTCTTTTCTTTTCTTTTTCTTTTTTTAGCTAATTATGCCAGTCTAGTCAGGTTTAAGCACGGCTTTGGGACAATTACATCTTTTGTTATTTAGTGACAAACCACTAAAAACGGATTGGTAGCTATTCAGGATTTAGTATCATTCATGATGTGATGGATTCCTGCATAAAGCAGGTGGTTGAATTAGATGACCTATAACAGTGTTTCTCAAAATGTAGTCTGAGCACCTCTGAGGGTGCCCTGAAATTAAAATTATTTGAAAGTTTATGATGAAAAGTAATATATTATTGAAACCCTTTAAAACAATTGTGAGAAATTGTAGTGGCAGCTAGTGCAATCCATTTTAATTTTTAATATTGTAAATCTTATAAATATGGTCCACGTAACAAAAGCTATAATTTTTAAAAGTGGGAAGCGATCCTGAGAGAAAAAAGATTAAGAAATTCTGATGTACCAGGTCCCTTCCAACTTACACATTGTACCATAATTTGCTGTGTATGCTTTTAGAGAAGCTTTATGTGCAGTTTAAGGAACTTTGAAAAGAGAAAAGGCTTATAGTGTCCAAATTAATATAAACAGAACCAGGCATCTTTATTCATTCTTAAATTCACATAACCCCGATGGGGTGAGATTGTAAGTGGGTAGGGATAAAGAGATAGTTGCCTGCATCAACTGCTGGCTCATGTAGCCTGATTCGAAAGTTTGCTGTAAATATAATGTGCTTGTGGTTTTCTTTGAAACCAGTGGCGCCAGAAATCGGCTGCAGGGTTTTCCTTTTTTTTTCTTTAAAATGTTTTATATTTTATTACATTATTAGATTTTTTTCTTTAAAAAATGCTATTGTTCCATATTTGGATCATTAAAGGCTTTTAGGGCATGCACGCCTACACGCTTATAAGAAATATGGACGTCACCAGGACCTCAAACTATGTATTTTTTTCTGTATCTTTACTTTAATGTCATTTTTGACTCTCTGCCCAGGTTTGGATTATTAGGTTTTCCCCTTTGCTAGAACAGAAATTAATCTACTTTTTTTCCCTCTGAATGCACAAAGAAGCCTTCTTTTCAGTTATAGTGAATTAAAGTTTTACTGTAAGTAGCATAACTATATTCTTCTCCTCCTCTCTATTTTCTTAGGAGTAGGAATAGTCTGTTTATTTTTATGAATGCTTCAGTTGTAAAAAGGTGCTGTGTCTAATTATGAATTATTATGTTACATTTTGAGCTAATTTTCTTATTTTGTAAAAAAGGTCCTTTGACATTTTAGTCCCTTGTGCATGATGATTTTTAAACATATAGTCTGGTTGAAAAATACAGATCAGTCATCTTTTTCTTGAATGCATAACTTTCTGTCCTGTCCAGGTAGAACATGAAATGAATGGAAGGTGCAAGTTTTACCTTGTTATATTGGCAGAGAAATAAATCAAAACGGGGAATGTAACATATACAAAACAGTTTAACTAAGTAGAATATAAGCACATGACCTTAAATATAAAACAGCTACTTAATTTGCAGGAATTGACAAAATAATTAAAACTGCTAAAAAGCAAAATCAGAGACTGGTGATCTATCTAGAGCTGTGCTTAGGAATTCCAAAAAAATACCTTTTTCCTCATAGTGAGAGCAGCACCATATTTAGAAGACACCAAGTTGAAGATAATTGCTCTAAATTATAGAAATGAATCATGTAACTAGGCAAATGTACGTTTACTTAATTTCTTTGTTTTATAGCTTCTTTCTGTATTTTCTTCAGAAAGGGTGTGAGTGCATATTCACAATTAAAGTCTGGAATAATTACATTAACTGAAAGTGAATTTTCCTATGAAGCATTATAATATGAAAATATAATGTGTAAGAAACAATTATGAGAAACATGTTTATGTCTATAACTAAAGCTTCCTTAAAGTTTTTAGAAAAACATTATTAAATAACACATACCGTGTTTCCCTGAAAATAAGACCTGATCATATTCTTTTTTTTTTTGCCTCCAAAAGAGGCACCAGGTCTTATTTTCGGGGTGGTGGCATCTTTTCCACTCACCTCCGGCACCGACAGCCCCACCCAGTTGGCCCACTTCTTCTGCGGCCAAAGGAGCAGCTTCATTTTGCAGCCGAGAATGGAGTTTCGGGCTGCATTTTGCAGGCAGAGGCCTTTCTGGAAGGCTATTGCAGCCGAGAACTGAATTATGGATTCAATCCATAGCTCGATTCTTGGCTGCAGAGGTCTTGCAGAACTGAGCTATGGATTGAATCCATAGCTCCGTTCTTGGCTGCAGTGGCCATCCGGAAAGGCCTCTGACTGAGAAATGCAGGCCTGGGGACGCCGCAGAAGAAGTGGGCTGGCGAGGAGAGGCCTGGCTGCAAGGTAAGTAGGTGCGGGGCATGTCCACCCCCCATCCCCAAGCTAGCTTAATTCATATATGTGTTCACCACCTTCCCTTCCACTTTTGTTTTTCCTAGTGAAAATCGCTAGGAGGATGTGAGCATGCACAGGGAAATGAGAGGGAAGAGACTCAACATTTTCTCTTGTACATGTTGAGAAAGCTGTGATTCATCATGTCTTTCTGACTTAAGACACATGAATCATACCAGAATTTTACAACCTAATGGGATTAGCCACCCTCTTTCATCCAATATTATTATCTGGACCTAAACTCAATAAGTGAGAGCCAGTTTGGTCTAGTAGTTATAAGGCACCAGGATAGAAAGCAGGAGACCATGAGTTCAGGTTCCACTTTAGCCATAAAAGCCCACTTTGGGCCAATCCCCCTCTCTCAACACAACTCACCTCACAAGTTTATTGTTGTGAGGAAAATAGGAGGAAAATGTGTTGGATATGTTTGCTGCCTTAAATTATTTATAAAATAATAAAGACGGAATACAAATAAATAAACAGACAAACTCTCAGAAAGTGATATCCTTTGAAAGAACAATACCTTTTTTGGTCAACTTATAAGCACCAAATC